TGTAAGGGTTAATCTTGAAGTGAGTATTTGAATATCAAGGAGTAGAGTTTACGAAATTGAGAATCGTTACGGAAATATATTTATTTAAATATTAAATTTTTACATTACTCTGTCGTATCTCCTGATTGCGAACCACAAACTATGAATCTAGACCTCAGTCACTATTATTTTTCCCTTTGGTGCTACAGCCCCAATTTGGGCCTTGGCCTACCTCCATGAAACTCTTCGTTTCATTTCGGTTTACTAGATCTTAGACATTCGGCAGGACTCCTTGGGCGGGCGATCAGCTCGTTGCAAGGCCTCTACCTGTACACAAATACAGAAAAACACACACAAACACTGAACATCCATGCCCTGAGTGGATTTCGAACCCACGATACCGGCTTCCGAGCGAGCGAAGATAGTTCATGCCTTAGACCGCTCAGCTAAGGCCGCGCCATAGCTCAAGCTTTTTTTTTTAATTGCTAGTGGGATGGGACTAAATCCCTTGTACTGCGGCCACTTCTGGCTTACTGTACCAGCCCCAGATGATAGGTGAGGGTGATTGTGAAGCAGTTGGTGGAATGAAGATTGGCTGGGGAAACCGAAGTACTCGAAGAAGACCTGCCCCAGCGCCACTTTGTCCACCACAAATTCCACTTAACCAGACCTGGGATCGAACCCGGGCCGTCGCGATGGGAAGCCAGCTACTAACCGCTTGAGCTATGGCGCGACCGTGGAATTGGGGTAAGTGAAATTACATTCATACGGATTAAAATGGCATCCAGTAAGGTAGAAGCGCCACCTGCAGTCACAACTGTATTATTTTTACGTCCTTTTGCATAACAAACAGTTCTGTGGATTCCAGATCTGAGAATTATAGAACACGTACGTCAGTTTCCCGAAACGCTTTATTGTGACATAGAATATCTATTACGCTTTTGATGTCATAGATCAGTGCTCATTCTCTCAGTTCAGTAGACCTGTATCATTTGACTCCAAGCAGGATACCGAACAGTTTTTGTCTCCTCCAGTTCCACTGCAGCATTTAATATAGAGACGCTCTGTCTAACAGAGAATGGTTCAATAGATAGAGGTCATTTTCTAGTAAGGCTATTTGGTTTATAAATAAACGTCAAGTTTGTCCTACATTCTTGACTCGATACGCAACCTTCCACAGGCCCGTTTACAAAGTTACTGCTTCTGGCTCTCGTGTTTTGTACGGCTTAAATGATATACCTTTTCGCGGATATTACTGCTTTATGCTTTTTCTGTAAGACGCGTTTATATACAGACATAAATCCTGATATTTAATATGTGATGCTTGTGGTTTTTATTGACTGTTCCGAAGTTAAATTGAAATATTTTGCCAGGGGCTTTCAGTTGAAAACTGATAACATATAGATAGGGCTACACTAGCCTGCACTTAAGGTAAAATTGCTCATGTGATAACCACCACGCCATTCAGATATATGGAGGACTGGAGGTAAACATCCATGCATTCTTGAAGTTGGAGCTGTATAGAGGAGAGTGTTCAGCTTCATTGCCCGGTTCACCGTTTCAAGTGTTCCCCTGTAACAACTGGATAGTGAGCTGTAGCGATCGGTTCATGAACCTTAGCTGTTCAGACGAGTGATATCAGAACCCACAGTTTCATCGCCGTGTTCACAAGAGCCCACCACTGAACTCTGTGCTCCGCTGAATGTCTTGAGTCCGCTTCCTCACCCCTTAATCCCTTGAGATCCGTTTTAATATTGAAGATTAGGGGCCTTTCGGGTTGCAGCGCAGCAGGGAACGGGTTATAGGTCCCTCGCGATGAACTGGTTGTCTCCCACTTTAAAGTGACGTGTATAATATGCTATAATAGGTGTACACATGTAAGGCGTTGTTCAAGCTGTCTTTTAAGCATGTTGTTAATAAATACGCCTGCGCCTTACATCGCTATTTTGATGCAACTTTCCCTGAGAGGGGATCAAATTTAATTTAGTTACAGTCTCTTGATGCGTGTCATGTGGCGTCTTCTAGATCTGACGTCATTATTACGAAAGGAAATATCTGAACATAAAAGAGAATAATTAATCTGATTACTGCACAGTGATTAATTAAGGAAGATTACGGTATCCTGTGTATCCCCCTGAAAGCCGGAGTAGTGGAGTCAGAGCAGACCTTTATTGTTAGGAACGGCTATGCAAACACATTCCCGCGGCAACGAATACGCACGCAACAATGTAAGAACTTCCGTTCCTATGCAATTGCGAGATAAACACACCTCTGTAACAACAGAGGAATTGTTAGGAAACGGTGTTTTGTATGTGGTTTGTGCCGAGATGTTGTAAGTAAGGCAGTTCGAAGCAACGAGTTAGGTTACACACGCACTAGGATTCTCAGTCTCCACTAGTCGTATCCTGGTAACGGAATTAAAACACTCTCACTGTGAGAAAATCTTCTAATCACACACTAAGTTTTCATATACTGACTTCTAATCCAACTATAATTTTATGTGACTTTTACCGACAACTGACTCCTCAGGGTCAGAGTCAGTCAGAATTACTTTACGACTGGCTGTTTACCGCCAGTCACTTCGTCTTGACGACAAGCCCCTTGAGACTCACGACCAGTAATTTTGTTTTCCACCTGAACACATGCGGTTTTAGTCCTTATGTAACATTTCTTTGACGAGAGGATGGGTCAGTCCTTTACAGTTGCTGCTGGTCCTCGCCAGCGCAGTCATTTTCAGGTCCAAGTCCCGCGGGACTCATGAACACTTTTTACTGTCTCAGATTCGAGACTCCTCCCAACGTGGAGAGCCAGATCACCGTATTTATATCCCCGAGGAACAGGGTGGCCCGGTTATACTCCCAGGCACTGGGTTCCCTATTCATCGCCTTCTACTACTCACAGAGCTACAATGGAGTTATTGGACCCCGCCTCCACACGGGCATAACTGACTCCTTCAAACTGTCTGCCTTATAAAGTCGCGTCACGGACCACGCAGCACAGAAACTCAGCCCCTCTGTTGTTGTAGAGGCATGTTAACGCTCAGTTGCCTAGCAACCTCGGCGCGGACCACATAAACAACGACCTTCATTCTTTTCGCCTATTGCTACAGCCGCGTGTTTATTTCTCCGATGCCCAGCAATGGATTGCTTCCAAGAATCGTATCTCTGCGGAAACGTTTTTGCCAATTCGTTTTCTAGAAACGCCTACGTGTCACAATATTAATAGCTGCAATGTAAGTTAATAACTGTTACAGACCGCTTCGCTTTTTATTCCCCGTCTAACAGCTCTAAGCATCAGATATTCCCATTTCGTGGGAAATAACATCTGCCCGTAGATAGGAATAAACATATTTGATGCAGAATCCTCGCTACTCAACAGTACTGCTTCGAGTGAAATAACAAAGAGCCTTGTGAATTTCACTGTGCCTACTTGAGACCTTTCGTTTTGAATCAGCTTTCATTGCTTATGCTTGCTTTCTTCCTTCTGCCTCTCATGTACTTTATTTGCAAAATTAATAAATAGGTGGTTTTACACTATACTGCTACAAAAGCCCGCACTGTACTTACTGCGTTGTGTCCCAGATGATAGAATTCTTCATAGTAAATCGTTATTTTTGGACACGCGGTAGCGTAAGTGGTCGAGGCACTATGCTACGAGCCGAAACGTCGCGGGTTCAAGTCCCGACGAATTCATTGGATTTCAATTGACCTAATTCTTCCAGCCGCACTGTGGCCCTGGGGTCGACTCAGACTAACTGAAATGAGTACCAGGAGTATTCTTGGAATAGTCTTGGGGGGTAAAGGGCGGCCGGCGTGTAGGGCTGTCAACCTTGCCGCCATCTGTGAGCCGATTATCTAGAAAATATGGGAACCTCAACGTCTTACAACCTTATGGGCCTCCACGGCCTGTTACAGGGATACCTTTACTTTCTTTTTACTTAAATAGCTATTCTACTTTTATGGTTGTATTTGCTTTAATAATGCAATATAAATTTCGTACAAACAAACAAAAAACAAAAACAAACTCCGTGGCTTGAGTCCGCAAGCGAACTATACCGACCGAGCGACCGCCGCTTGTCGGCGAGTTAGTACCAACTGTAGCGGATAGAGGGTGTCACGTGGTCAGCGCAACGAATCCCCACGGCCGTTAATCTCGGTTTTCTAGGCCGCAGCCGCTATTTCCTTGAAATAGCTTCTCAATTATCCTCACGAGGCTCAGTGCACCCCGTTCCAGACCCATTACTATAAATTTCATACATTAGAATTAATTTGTAGTTTATTTTGTTTCATTTTAGCCTATTTTTTATATTGAAAAATAAAAGTAGACTTAATGAAATCACCTTCCTTTTCGTGTGTATCCCCCATATTAACTCTTGAATGCCTGAATGAATCTATATGAAACTTGGTATGTATATCGTGACATCTAACTTCATCACAACGACGTAATTGATATATCCGTCCCATCAGTAATAACAAAATTACAGCCTCTTAAATTTCTGAGGCTAAACCTTAATATTGCTTAAACGCCCACATCACATGAAAATTGGTACATCAAACAACATGAAACAGTCTCAATGAACACCAGTTTACTACAAGTATATAAGGTGAAAGAATATATACATATTGATGCAGATGAGCCCATGTTTTGGCTATTTATTTATATATATTTAACCCCAAGATGAAGTCAACATGTTTCTCCGAAACGTCGGTTGACCTTTAGCGAACTACACAGCGTTATACGTCAGGAAATGGAAGTCTTTAAGGACAGGGAACCTATTTTTGAGGGCTCCTTACAGAATCTTGGTTTTGTCTGGCGGGATGAATAAAGCAGGTTTCTCTTTTCATGTTTTACCTAAGAAGTGACCCAGAACTGTTCTGCAAAACATAGTAACTTTAGAATTGTATATTTTAAGTCAGATAATGGGCAAAGCTCAAATAAAATGTCATAGCAAATCTCTCTCGTTTATAAACAATTAAGAATTTAAGAGAAACAGTAACAGTATTTCTCGTTTACTGTTGCAGGTTACTGAACGAAAGTTCACTGCAAGAGTGGGATATCCACATGCTGCCCGAATACACTGACCCTTACCATAAAAGGTAAGTATACCAGGACAAATATCTTGATATAAGTTGAGGGTAAAACAAGGGTAAAGTGTGCCGAGGACTTTTTATCATCCCAAGATAAGAGAACATTTCATAATGAGTACAAATTATGAAATTTGTACTCCTAGCCGGCTATTTTTAGGATTATCACATTTATGAGGTTGGTATGGGTGATATACAGCACGATTTTCAATATGAGAAATACATACAAAATTTATGCAAGAAAACTTGAAGGGAAGAGACCAATTTCTAGACTTAGGAATAGGTGGGAAGTTAATATTAGAATGGATCTCAGTGATATAGGTTGTGAAGATATGGACTAGGTTGACGTGGCTCAAGATAGGTTCTTGTGAATACAGTAATGGATCTTCAGGTTCCGTATAAGGAGGGAAATTTCATGGCCATCTGAATGGGTATTAGGTTCTGAAGGGGAACTCCGCTTCGAGGGCGTTCTTCCTCATTTCCCCTTTTTTTAATTAAGCATCACGCCATGAAAACGTATGGGCGTGTGGAAGTGTAACGCCGCCTGTTGCTAATCTCGGCACTAGATGGAGGTGAGTTGTCAACTTCACGCTCCAGCACCTTTACCCCCGGTAATAGAGCCACTATTTGAAATGATGGTGGCCTAAGTATCATAGCATAAAACCTTTCTCTATAACACATAGGCCTACTGTCAAAAGGGGTAAAGAATTTTCTTTCGTTGTCTGTATGTTGTTAACACTCCGTTGAAAGAAACATCCCTTTTCTGTACGTTTAATTATTTGTTTATATTCTTGGCGTATAATTTCACCGTCCTTACCGTAGTATGTGGAACCGGGATAGCTCAGTCATTATAGTGACGGGCTACTGGCTGGACAGCCGGGGTTTGATTCTTGGTAGGGGTAAGAGATTTTTCTCTACTTCACAGCTTCCAGACCGGCTCTGGGGCCCACCAAGTCCCCTATTCAGTGCTCTTTCCATGGGTATAAAGCAGCCGTGTCGTGAAGCTGACCGCTCACCTTCATTTAGTGCTGACGTCGAGAATTATATAGCTGTACTTCCACATTCTTGAAAGGATTGTGACGATGGTGTATACTGTACTTCTTTTTTCCCTTGATTTGGACTTCATCCATCGTCTGGAGCAGTGATTGAGACCAGCTCTTTCTAACGGGCCCAACTGAGTAGGTCTATCCTTCCCTATCCACCTGAAGACGGAGACAGATACAGTCTCCGAAACGTCGTGGTCTTTTGTCTTTTACATACCAGACGATGGATTAAGTCCAAAACAAACCAAATGAAGTTCCACATTCTTATATCATCTAAATGGCATAGTGCTTAATTAATTAAGCACAGGAACAACTTTTCCTTTACCTTACTGTAGCGTGCGACTGGGGCAGACGATCTGGGTAGATGTGCTCTGTACCACTCTTGCATTAATACAAGTGAATCCCGTATTCCCTCCATTTTCCCGGACCCTTTGCTTGCTGCTGTCATATCTTTCCGCGAGGTTGCTGCACGTTTAGATTATTTTGAGAGGATGGCTGTTTGTAAGACAGTGTGAATGTGTTCACATTAAGACCAGGTACTCCAGATTCATTCCCCGGCGCAGACAACAAAATATTTTGCCTTCGTACCTGCGTATAGCGGCTGGTTATGGGGTGGACGATCTAGGGGTTGGAGTTAAAGAGTCCCGATGGCGGGGGGCAAATTTTTCTCTCCACGTCGTCCAGACCGGTTCTGGGGTCCACCCAGCTTCCTGTCCGATGGGTGCCGAGGGCAAAGTGGCCACAGCATGAAGCTGAACACCCAGCTCCAACAAATGTCGAAGTCAAGAATACTTGGATCTATGCATCCACTTCCCCATACGCCTTCATGACGTAGTGCTTAATTAGTTACTACCACATTATACGGTTCTGATTCAGATATTATATAGGCCCCTTACCGAAGAACGTCACAGTTAGGGCCCCGAAAACTGAAAAACTGCGTGGGCTTAGCATAGGATGGCGAGACAGGTGCAGACAATGCATACCTCTCTAGAACATCTGCTTGAAGGGCAAAGAAATGGACGTAAGAGTAACATCAGGCCGCGCCATAGCTCAAGCGGTTAGTCGCTGGCTTCCCGATCCCGGGTCTGGTCAAGTGGGATTTGTGGTGGACAAAGTGGCGCTGGGGCAGGTTTTCTCCGAGTACTTCGGTTTCCTCTGACAATCTTCATTCCACCAATTGCTCCACAATCACCCTCACCTATCATCTGGGGCTGGTACAATAGGCCAGAAGTGGCCGCAGTACAAGGGACTTAGTCCCACCCCACTAGCAATAAAAGAAAAGTAACATAAAGATTAATCTTAGGGAGATACGTTTTGAGGAGTAGGATGTGGATAAAACTGGCTCAGGATCATGTCCAATGCTTGTTTTTTCGAGTTCAGTAATCCTGTATAAAAGATGCTTAGTTATAATTAATTGAATGCCATCTTTCACCTATGAAGACTTGACCATTTTGATTTTGTGCCTTCACATTAGGAGAATTCCAAGTGTATGTGTGTATGTTGCGGTATAGCAGTGTTCTACTCTTGGCAGATTTCCTTCCTTGGAAAAGTTCGTTATTTTAACGTCAATATCATTATCTTATGAGTGTTCGTACCCAATTTCTCTTTAACAATAGCTTCTGTCTCTACTTATGCTTTTATATCCCCTAACACGGTACGCAGTGACCCTGTTTGATTTGCTGTAATCTTGTTTATTCCCCTGTTATTTTAACCCACTTGGATGTTGTCATGTCTGTATAAATAACAGCACAGTGTAGGTTAGTCCGTGTCAGATGCAAGGAATTGAATGTTCTTTCTGGAATTACGAGGCAGTCTGGAATTCAATAAAAGTGACATGTTTTCCAGACGTTGCTTTCCAGTTGCAAAATTGATTTCTGGTTACAACTTATATTGATGTCTGAGTAATATAAGTATTGTGCTACGAAAAAAAAATGAAAGAAAACTCGTCTTCTGTTATTTCTTAGCAATATCGGTTCGTGCTTCGTTATTTTTACAATTTCAGCGTTTAGTTATACTCCGGGGTTCGTTTCCCGGCAGGAGCAAGAGATCTCTCTCTTCTTCACAGCGTTCAGACCGGCTGTGAGGCCCACAAGCCTCCTGTCCAGTGGGTACGGGGGGGGGCTCTTTCCCGGGAGTAAAGCGGCTGGAGCATGAAACTAGGCAGTCACCGAAGTCAAGAATGGTGGAGCTATACCTTCACTCCCCTACACGTCTTCATGGCGTGGTTCTTAATTAATAACAGGGACAGCTTTTATCTTTATCGTTATCTTTATCTGTATCGTCTTTGAACGACCAGTTTGCAGTTACTGCCAGAGGAATAAATATACATGCAACTACCCGCATAAGGACGTGAGCTCCGCAAGCAGTTCAACCATTTGAAGCATGACAGAGAACAGTAAGTTCAGGGAACCAATGAGAGACATTACGCTTTGGGCACGAATTTCCTTTATTAAAGAGATCAGTTCCTACTTCACAGGAAACACGTTTCATCTCCAGTCGGTTATGTTGTTAAACAAATAATCAGTGTTAATTATGAGAATCATATGAAACACTACATTCTGTGGATCAAATGCTTAGGTAAAAGGTAAAGTTGCCCCTATGCTTAATTAATTAAATAAAACGTACCACGCCATGAAGACGTATGGGGAAGTGGATGTATAGAGCCACATATTTTTCTCGGCACTAGATGAAGGTGAGTGGTCTTGTTCACACCCAGGCAGCTTCACTCCCAAGGAAAGAACCCCCGGTCCCCATTTGATAGGAGGCTGGGTGGGCCCCAGGCACTGTCTGGACGCTGTGGAAAAGCCCCTTGATCCTTCCTGGAATCGAACCCGGCCATCCAGCCCCGAAGCCCGTTCCTATATCGACTGATATATCGCGGTTTGTTGTATTAAAGGGTACATATAGTAACAACTGTGCTTTAAAGGGTTAAAAATTAAATTAATAGTCCGCCTGTAGATGTTTTATAGATTTTTCTAAACAAAGTTTGTTGCCTGCTTCTTACTCTTCGGCCCTGAAGATGGAGGTGATATGTTCCTCCGAAAATTCGGTTGACTTTCGCCGGACTACACGGAGGTATATCACTTTGTTATTTTGTTAAGCGGTGTGATTTTCAGGCCAATGCCGCATTGCAAAAGTTTATTACTCCTTCAGCACCGCTGGGATATACACATCCCCTCCCCCCTCCACGTACAGTAGGCCTTGTGTCCGTCTGTACTATTCATGGGGTTTACCTCCAGGAGGCGGATGTAACATCCATTTCCTCAGGCTCATGTTTTTTGTCGCCCGTTTTATTTCTGTTTGCTTTTACAAGACTGTCTGATCTTGGTGATTTTCTAATATGCACGGTGCAGTCTGAATTTGCGGAGTTGTTTAATGTCACTACTGAGTGGTTCTGCTTCGGTTTCGGAAGTTGCAAAGTCGGTCTATATACAGAATCGTTTCGTAATTTATCTCAAACCCTTCTTGGGAATTCATGCAAGGAAATTTAACGTGTTATATCTATGTAAGGTTTGAGGTTTTCACGGCGGTGACTATGAAGAATGCCGTCTTATGGGATGTGGCGCCGTGTAGGTCTTGTGTGAACTGACGCAGCCTAGGCTGCAACCACCTGCTCACGCTGGTTTCTCGCTCGAGGATTTTTCTACCCTGAAGATGGTAGCGATACGTTCCTCCGAAACGTCAGTTTACACAAGATCTACACGGTACCACATCCCAGAAAACGGTATTTATGTTATATCTGTTTACCTACATAATCAGCCCACCTGTATGTTTATTTATCCCTCTATTTACCTCAAGCGATTTATTTATTTGCCGTATTATGCCAGTATTTACTTAAGTTGTGAGAAATGAACTCAGGATTCATAATGGTATCACGTTTTAAGGTCTCTGGTATTTACTAAGTAGAGCGGTAGTACTTAATTAATTAAGCACAACGCCATGAAGACGTGTGGAGATGTAACTCTACTATTCTTGACTTCGGCACTAGATGGAGGTGATTGACCAGCTTCACGCCACGGCCGCTACATCCCCAGGGAAAGAGCCTCCCAGTACCTATTGTATAGGAGGCCGGATGGGCCCCAGAGCCGGTCTGGACGATATGGAGAAGAGAAAAGTCTTGTCCCTGCAGGGATCAAACCCCGGCCGTCAAGCTCATAGCCCAACTGAGCTGTCCCAACTCCTAATTATCTATAAATTTATATATATTGTTTTTGTCATTCAACTGAAAATTAGTTTTAATTATGATTGAGGCAGTATGGTACAAGCCGGAAGGTCGCGGGTTCAAGTCCCGATGAGATCATTGGTTTTGTTTCAATTGATCTAATTCTTCCAACCTCACTATGACCCTGGGGTCGACTCAGCCGCTAACAGAAGTGAGTACCAGTAATATTCTTGGGGGTAAAGGGCGGCCGGCGCGTAAGGCTGACAACCTTGCCGCCATCTATCAGCCGATTGTCTAGAAAATGTGGGAACCCCGACGTCTCACAACCCTATGGGCCTCCATGGCCTGTTACAGGGACAGCTTTACTTTACTTATGATTTGAATAAAATGTTTGGCATGTGTCTGAGCGGCCATTTTTGTCATTAGTTAATGAAGTTGACGGCAGAGGACAGGAGCGTCTTATGAGGAAGTTTACTTCTTGCTGTAACAGCTTCAGTAAAATGATCCGTACTTATTTACGGTCGTTTAAAGGAAAGCGAGTTGAATTCGATACTGGAAATATTCTGCGTTGTGTTCTGCCTATAATTACGTGTTCTGATTTCCTTACAGGCCTCTGACAATGGGCGAGATTGGCTGCTTCCTTAGTCATTATAACATTTGGCGGCAGGTGAGTGGTATTATTCACGCGATAAGTGGTTTCCTTGTTCAAGTTTTAATTGTATTCAGAATGCAGGGGTGCACATTCTCTTGTGCTATGACACAACGTGTCGGGATCGCCATTTCGTTTTACATTCAGGATGTTTAGTGTCCTTATTCCTGCATGGGTGGAGCAGGCACGGTCCAGTGACCACTTCTCCGGCATATCCTGCCTGTGTGCTTCCTATGAGAACAACACATGCTCTGAAGGTGTGGATTATACTGCACAAACCATACGGTAACGAACAAAGGCATGATTAGCAGGATTTAAACAGAATTGTATGTCCAGTGGGACATCTGCCATATTGCAAAATGATCAAACATAGACCTGGAGTATTTGTAAAAGAAAAGAAGGTGTATTTGCATTACTTGGTTATACACAGTGGCGGGAAAGTCAACCAACCGAAAACATTCTTTCGTATTACCGGGAAATTTCGGATTTAAACCTCCCAGCCAATTTGTAGAACGTTATCACAGCATCGTTAATTGTGTATTGAACATGGAGGACATCATTTCGAATTATTTTTATAAATTCAGTAACAAATTTTTGGCATAAATAATCGCCTAATTTTTATACGACACGAACCCAATAGAAAACTACGCTTCCAACAATTCTTCGTTGCCGCGGGAATGTCTTTACAAAGTTGTTACCTAGCAGCGATAGGGAGGATACACATAGACACACTGAGTAGCGGGAGGGATTTATGAAGTATGCCGCTGATATGGGCTGAAGTGCCATGTTACATATGCCAGGTTTCATAAAGATTGGTTCAGGCATTGAGAAGTTAATGGGGAAGGGGGATTCACATACACACAGACAGCATGGAGATCGTATAAGCCTGCTTTTATTTTTCATAGTAAGAAATATGTGCGAATAAAAAATTTCTCACGTATTTTAGTGTACATTTCTCTAACCAGTTAGCTGACATTTGGGTCCCTTTGTACATTCGTGCCTTCAGTGAAACTTTGTAAGTCGTTAAGCAAGTTTATTATTGCCGTATATTATTGACTTCTTTCGCGAAAGAGAAACGTGCTTTCTACTGATTTTTAGTACACTTATAACAGGACAGAAAACATGCCTCGAGGCAGTTGTATTTGCAGCTGGGGTTCTTATACGTACAATAGACAGGTGATTTTCGAACGAAAACAGGCCCCATGAGGATAAGTACATTTTCCAGGCCGTTAACCGTGTATGACGGTGTGCCCTGAAGAAGATAAGCCTTCACTGGCCGAGTTATGCTAAACGCAGTGTACCAATTTACGTGCAACATGTATGTACCTGACGACGAGGCCGTGACATAGCTCAGGCGGTTAGCCGCCGACTTCCCACCGCGGCGGCCCGGGTTCGACCCCAGTTCAAGTCATGTGTGCTATGTGATGGACGAAGTTGCACTGGGGCGGATTTTCTCAAAATACTTGCGTTTTTCCCCTACCAATTATCATTCCACCAACTGCTCCACGCTCACCTGTCATCCGGGGCTGGTACAGTAGGCCAGTTAGTGGCCGACATACCAAGTGGACTCAATCTCACCCAAACACAGGAAACTTATGTACTTATATAGTATATATATACACACACATATACACTTGAGGATGATCTCTGTATGACCGAAACATGTCATGGAATAGGAGGTGTTCCATCCAGGAACCAGGAACCACGAAGCCGCATTCAAGACTGTTGTGTGTGTGTGTGTGTGTATACGGAACTCAAGGACAAACATAGATAAGGCCTCTCAGCTGATAGGTATAGTCCGTAGACCCGCTAGAAGACCACACTTTTCTCGGGCCATTATCTCCGTAACCGTTCAACTTTGGACATAGGTGTTTTGGGTTATATCAGCATACTTTAACATAAGGAACACCCTCCCGAAGTTTGGTCCATTCCTCCTGGGACACTCTGTATCTATTAGGGTGACCAACTTTCGGTCATGAATTTAAGGGAGATTTATATATCTAGTGATAAGAAAGCTATTCTGATCATCTGGGCAGTGCTATAAGAAAACGGTTGATCCATAGAGAATTTGATACCTATGAAATTTTATTAGCAGCACCGTGTTTTCTGCGGCATATATCTGTTTAAATTTTAATTAAAATTAATTTAAAAGAAATACGTTTTATTCCATCGGGAACCGCTGTAGCGTAGTTGGTTGAGGCACTATGCTACAAGACGGAAGGTCGCGGGTTCGAGTATCGATTAGATCATTGGATTTTTTTTTCAGTTTACTTAATCATTCCAGCCGCACTATGACCCTGAGGTCAACTCAGCCTCTAACAGAAATGAGTACCAGGAATCTTCCTGGGGGTAAAGCGCTGCCGGCTCGTAAGGCTGACAACCTCACTGCCATCTGTGAGTCGATTGTCTAGAAAATATGGGGGCCTGGACGTGTCACAACCATTTGGCCCTCTACGGCCTGTTACAGAGATAGCTTTATCTTTTCATCCTTCTCATATCCAGAAGTGTAAGTACCTCTTCCCCCATAAAAACTGCGGTATCTACAAGGCATTTTTCACATGCATAATGTTTACTCATATGCAGGGGCACCAATTCTGGTACAGACTGATCTCATTTTTCTCCTGCCGCGTACGTCATAAAATATACTGCACAAATATTTGCCTTGATACCGAGTGTACATCTTTCCGCAATGCAGGGTCTTTGAACTGTGCCGAGCCTGCATAACGTATAGCTTACAGCCCGTGCTTCGAAGTGTCACTAGGTAATATGGTAAATATCATTTTGAAACATTTATGGCAAAGCGATATGGGAATTCCCACATGTCACATATCGCGTGACGCATGCGTGACGGTATATTTTTTATAAGCGGGATCTGGGAAGTGCCCAGTTGTTCACCAGATTCATTCATACAGACACATTTCGCCTCAGTGAATATTATTTTTATATAGGGTCCCCATAAAATACTGCCGATGTTTGAAATTGTATTCATTGACTTAGATAAGACAAAACAGCAAAATATATTATCACGTGATAGAATGACTATAGACTGGGTTTGGATTGGTAATCGAATTTATTGAACTCTTGAACAACTCGTAACTACAAATAACTACGACGGCCCTCCTACATTCCACATTCCAGAGATCACTGTAGCTACAGCAGACGTAAAGTCTTCTCAATCTCAAAGTCAATAGAAAGTCCGTCGAGTGTAACAATTTGTAGGTCACTTCTTTATCACATCTGCCTTACATGTTTCGGTTTAAATACAACCATCATCAGAGGCACATAGTACAATCATGAAAACACTGTTGTTATTTAAGATGTACACAGTTATGTTTGCTGCGTGGACGCTGCTGCAATATGTCGACGTGTAAAAGCACAACACTTGCTAGGATTGTTGAATGCACTACCAATTCTCACATTCCATCCGAAACTGCCCTCAAGTTAAAACCCCAATATTAAAATATTTAAAAATTTAAAACATTTGATGTAAAATGTTAAACTCCTCCTTGTTAATTCATCCCGAAGATGGGAGATGTCAGCTTGAGGTTGTATGGCTTATGGTTAGCTGTTTCCTATG